GTGTATGAGGTAATCCTGTGGCGAGCATATTTTCACTCATTTCCTGGCACTGGAGGGACCAGTGTGCTCCAGAGGGAAGGTGTTCTTTTGTGCCGTGTAACAGAGCTCACCTCACAGCCGATCCCCTGGGGCTCTGCTACCTCTACACACACACACACACAACACACACACACGCAACACACACCACACACACACACACACACACACACACACACACACACACACACACACACACGGCTCCCTGAGTCACAGGGTGGAACCCTCACACACATAAAGGGCGCTTTGTGCCCCAACTCATGGAGCTGACAACCAACACCAGAGAGCTCCTCACACTGAACACCACTGTTCAGCTAACAGGAGAGCTCAGTAAGTGGGCAGACAGCGCTTTCATGTACACCCACACAAAATGTAGCTTCATCTCTAACTATCTGTCTATCAGTGGCTTAGAAATACAGCTGCACCGACTGTAATTGAAATTTGAGATTAAAAGGGTGATAGGAGTGTGCATGTTTAGAATTTTCTTCAAGTTCAAGTTTTATCTTCCTGCACGGAACTGTTAAAATCCCCTTCCCTCATTTACCCTTTTGAAAGTTATACAGTCATATCTAACTATCCATGAGCCTGTCTCTCATCCAGTGTTTCCCATAACGGAAAGGAGACGCTGACTTCATTTCTTACCCTCTTGGGGATTGAGCCAGGCAGCAGTAATTTAGGAAGCCAGCAATAAAACTTCCACTGAAACCCACCCACTCACCTGCAGGATCTGATGACAGTAGCACTTCCCCCCACATGTCCCTGTATTTTCCATTTTGCAAACAACCTCAGGCAGAGGTGTCATTAATTAAATCCTCTGAAAATAAAAAAACATGTATCAGTAGCAGTCACAGGCCTATAATAATCATATTGGGACCGAATTAAATGATTGGTTTGTCAACCTGCCTGTCAACCCACCTACCTGCCTAACTTCACGCTTTCTGTCCCTGCACTCATTGCACATGACCCAGTGTTCCACAAGCTGGTCAGGCACATATTGCTAAAGCTACAGAGCAATTCGCACAAGAACGGCAGAAAAAGACTGTTTGCACTGCTAAACAAAGCACCTGAAGAGATTTTTTTAGTTGGATACTTTCAAAAATCTAGCTGTCTCTTGCTAGTTTGTCCAATGTTACCTTTAATATTCAAATTTTGGTGGTCACTTGTAATGACAACACATAGAGAATGATCACCCAACTGTACAGTTCCACACTACGAAGCGTTTTAATGTCTTTCAGTTCATCATTTTGGTTTAACAGCCCACAACAAACACACTACCTGTCCTAACCTAACCTATTGCACACAAAGTTAGCGGCTAGTGCAGAGGAGCATTTACTGGCTAAAGAGCCTGATTTCTCAGGAGTTAGTGGAGACCATTGTGACTCACAGAGAGTTGCAGCCCGAATTTTTGGAGCATTTTTTTGGAACATCTAGCTGGTGTCAGTGGTATTGTACCTTTAAGTACATCTGCATTGGCTTCACCCACTTGCTATGGTTGTTGCAAACTGATTTACATCTTGTTGCGCTGCCCCCAAGTGGCCAAAAAAATTAATGAATGCAGTGCGATTACACTGTCCACACACTGAGTACATGCAAAACCAAAGGTCATAATAAGAAAAGTTTGGAACTTGCAGGGCAGCTGTAGAATCCTACAGACAGCTGGTTGTTGGTTTAAACCCCAACACCAGCTTAAAAATGTTGGGATGGGTTAAAAATAATAAATGCAATTCTTTACCATGCCCAGAAACCAAGACACACTTTCATTAAACAATCTCCATCTGCTTTTGTGTATTCTGTTGAGATTGTTTCTTTTCTTGCTGTAATTTGTTCATTTCAAGTGAAAATTGCTTTGCAAAGCATTTTCAGTTTCCTTGTGTTTTAATGTCTGCCTCCTTAGTGAGGGTGAGACATAATGTGATCTTAATTAACTTGCTTGGTTACATAACAACCAGGCGTATCTCAAAGAGATGACAAATTGGTCATAATTATTTATAATGCAGATAACTTGATAAAGCAAAACACACTATACTACACACTATAAGATATTCTCTATCAACCCTAAACATAATGCGATGGGGTCTTTTAGGAATATGATCTATTCAGTTTAAGGGTTTTGAGGCGTCACATGTTCATATTTGACATTAGGAGGAAAATTCCTGTAATCAACCTACTTTATGCTCCAATTAGCCCAAATGTTGTACAATACAGCACCACAGGGGTGCAGTCTCCTCATTCATCTCAACAGCCCATCAGCTTTTTCTCAAGTTGTAAAACCTAAAGATATAAGAAATATTGTTAATCATTTGCTTCTAAATGTAAAGTAACTTAATACTTTTCATGGCTGCTTATTTTCTATTTTTGTAACTAAAAAGCTTAACAAATTCTACGGACATCCCCACAGTATCTGTCTATCTTGCCTGCTGTGTGGCATTTCCAGGAATGTTTATGTGTTGGAGCAGTTTACTAAAAGGGTCAGTACCAGGGGACCTGATTCGCTGACTCAATTCCACTGTATCTTCTCATGCTATCATGTTTAAATTCATGTTTGTCAACTGGTGCTACATCGTCTCTTTTCCTTTATACTTTTGAAACTTTTTTTGGATAAAGGGTTTCAGATGGTCATGTCTTTTCCAGGCTTCAGATAATCTGACCATCAGATAGCCGGGCTGCGTCCCAGGAGGGAGAGTCCATCACATGATATGCTACAAGGTTGCGTGCCTGGATGTAATTATACAGCAATATTTTGCTAACTGTAGACAATACTAAGCACACATTTAATGTAGCTAATGAAGAGTTGTGGGAGTTTTTGTTGTTTCCACTGGGAGTCTGAGGTTGTAATTGTAGTTTTGAAATAATGGTTTTGTTTATTGTTTCATAATGTGGGTGTTATGGAGCCCTTTGAGACCGTTGGCTGTCACTAACTGCTATATAAATAAACTTGACTAATGCTAGCGTAAACTACAATTTGTAAAACAGCAACATCAATGGTAAGCAATAGTAAAGGAGGACAGAGAAGAGCCAGCGAGATCCAACCATAATCCAGTGACCCCTGCATATTAGGGAGATATGTCAGAAGAAGACATTAAGAGATACAGAGAAATATGAGAGTGCAGTTAGAGGGAATAAAGGAGATTTGACTGCTCAAGTTGATTTTTTTTCATCTTTAACAGAAAGTTAGAGTTCCAGCTAGGTAAGTGGAAAACCACTTACATGCCATGTTCATGGTCCATGGTCAACTCCAAACCATTCTTAGCTCCTGTCCATACCTCTAAACTTTAACTGTATTTAATGATTGTTTTGGCTCCGTTTCAGTGTGCAGAACTCTTAACTTGTGGTTCGTATAGTTTCCAAATGTAGAACAGGAGCCAGAGTCTTCAGCGACCAAGCTCCTCTCCTGTGGAACCAGCTCCCAGTTTGTGTTCAGACACATTCACATTCAAGAGTAGGCTAAAAGTCCTCTTTTATAAAGCTTATAGTTAGGGCTGGCTGAGGTGAGTCCTGAACCATCCCTTAGTTATGCTGCTATAGGCCCTGACTGCCGGACGACTTCCCATGATGCACTGAGCTCCTCTCTCTTTCTCTCCCTCTCTATCGGCACACATTCATGTCCCATTAATGCATGTTGAGTTCTGTTCTTCCCTGGAGTTTTTGTGCTTTCTCATCTTACAGGTTCCCATAGATTGTGGATTCTGCCATCATCTTCATCATCATCATCATCATCATTATTGGTCATATTTATACCATTATTGTTATTATTGCATCTCTCTATCTCTCTCTCAGCAGCAACATAACTATAAGTACTCCACCAGTACTGCTGTTCATTTCACAACATTAGCGAAAAAAAGCAATTATCTTTTGATTACTGTTCAACACTGCATTGTATATGAGTATCATTACACTAAATTACATTAAATTGTGTTCAATGAATGTTTTCCAGCATTACAGTATTACTGTATTTTAGAGGGTTACCGTAAAATTGTGTCTTTAATTGTGGTTGATACAGAAAAGAAATAATGAACTGATGCAGTGAAGCAGCCTACAATGGTAATCATCATTTTGCCTTTTATGAATATATGATTTGCTGTTGTGGTAAGCTGGACTCTACACTTCAGTCTCTATAGTTATATTATAGATATATACACTACATATATACACTAATTGTCTGTCTTGATGAGAGAGAACTGAGACCTTTCGTATCTGTATGCTACAGGAAATATGGATCTGTCCATAAGTAACTAAATCAGGACTGACACTATGACTCACTAATTAACAAACTGTATCTTGTTTGTTCATTTCCTTACAAAAACGGAAGTGTAAAAAGAGCAATCTAAAGTTTGGGTTAAACTAATTGGCTGCTAGCTGCATATTTAGCATAGGATTTTGCTTAGTGTAATAGAGCCTACCACTTACAGCAACCTTAGGGAATACATGTGCGAATGCATTTCTGGTGCAAAACTGTACATGTTGTCATAACTAGTGTAAAGCTGTGAGATGATGTCTATGAAACACACAGCTGGAACTGTACTGCAGCCTGTTCTCAAGGACTGTTTATAGATTATGTTTTTCAATTTATTTATCTGACTGCGAACATCATTTAAATAATGAATCTCCATGTGTAACATTAAGGACACATTTCCTTCACTATATATAATCTATAATGTGTCACTGATACAAACATGTCTGTAATTACAGCAAAGATCTGACAATTTTAGTAAAACAAGTAGCATTTTTCTGTATATTGTCAGAAATGTGTGTTTTAGAGTGCTATCATTTAATGTTCAGTGCCAAAGACTTCCAAATTAAAACCAATCATTAAGGGTGTATGCAAAACAAATTCTTTACAACAAAACTGTGTCGGTTTCATGGCAGCAGTATTTTGTAACTGGGTGTAATTTTGTGGTGGCAGATTTCATGCTGTATAGAAACATAATCCAAAAAAATGGCAAAAAATCAAACTGAACAAACACTTTTTTGCAGTTAGCTACAAAACCACTTTATTGAAAAAGCAGATTATGTCATCTACAGTTAAATGATACGTCCCGATTTTTAATACATTAAATAACTTTAGACTTTTTTCATGTTTAGATAAATAGATCTAGTTTCCTTTTTTTATGAACCATCTAGGTAATCAAAACACTTAGCGATACAAAAGATGTGTGACAGGTGTCGAGATGTGCTTGTTGGAACTACCAGTAGGAGAAGAAGTCCTCTCTTTCCAAGTGATTTTTGACAAAAAAATAAAATAAAAAACTAGCCTCTTTATGTACAGGGTAACTAGCTGTGTGCTATGCAATAGAAACTGAAGTAGTACTTTTAAAACAGGTGAATTAAGACATCTTTAAAAGGGGATACACTCTGATGTTGTTAAGTTTTTCTTGGGGGTTGATATTGTGCAGAGTAAACAAAAAAAACCCTCATTCATGGCACACATTACTTGACCAGGACCCCTGTACAAAGCTGAGGTTAATCAAATGACAAGGGGGGAATGTCTCACATATGCAGTCCTTTCTCTTTTCTGCTTTTACAAATATACAAACACTAATCATTATTACATTCGAATGAATCTCATCACATCAGGTTACATAAGAAAGCACTTTCTGCCTGTGGTGACCCCTGCCTTCAGTCCGTTTTTGACACATTCAGTAGTATTCATTGAGACCTGCGTGTACAGTAATACAGTATGAATAAGAGCTGGGCCAGTGTTTGCATAAAATACTTGGTGATTGTTTTATTCTTGTTCTAATACCAGATGGATGGAGTTTGCCACAGTCAGAGAATGATATACCAGCTACTGGAACGTGTGTAAACCTTACCAACATAGTACTAGACAGACGTTCGAACACACACACCAAGAATTAGACAAAAACATCTGGAAAGAAGGTGATGAACAAACGCAGTCATCAAAATCATCACTGGGTTACAACAGAGAGAGCAGGGGTCAATGTGCTGGCTGCCCTGCAAACACGGTGAGGTGCTTGTGCCATGGCCCTGCCACTAGCACAAGCCCACACACACACATACACACTCTCACACACTCATACAAACACTTTTACACAATTAGCTCATATTTGAAATAAGCACACGTAGTTGGGGTTTAATGCATAAATGTGCAGCAGCTCAGATTTTTGCTCGGTGCAAGAGTGAGCTGAGTTTTCCTCAAAAACAGAAGTTCCCTAAAACATCTTACAGGGGAAGGACCTATTGAGTGCCAATCTGAAAAAAAATTCATCAGTGACCGTAACTAAGTGGGGAGGGGTGAGACCATTTTTCCAGCACCCCCATAGCTCAGAGTTTTATGCAGTTTTTGTTTGGTATATATACACACACACGCAGGACCCACTGCAACACATACATGCAAGTGCCTGCCCACACACACACATACATACACAGACACACACACACATACACAGACGCACACAACCAGCAAGGGAAATGTGGGGAGGGGGACTCCTCTAAAAAGCGCGGGTGGGACCAGCAGCTCCGGGTTCTCAGGGACGTCCTCCCAAAACACAACAGCAGACTGTGAGACACACAAACATACCTGTTCTGTCTTAAGGCATGTGGACAAGTGGAGGTTCCTCGTAGTAACGCACTGTGTTCTCAGTGCTCATATGACAAAAACCAGTGTCTGGGAAAACATACCAGGAAACAGTGTCCTGAACAGACCTGGTGCAAAAGGTATCACTCAAATTGTTTTGATTCCTTCTTTGAGTACCAGACGGGCCAGATGCCACATTTACAGTGTCCGTGACAGAAAATGACTTTTGGTAGTATAAATAAGGAATAGATATATGTTCATTAATGATTTTTAGTCCTGATTTTGATCTCCGTTGAGGCTCCTGGTGCACACAACTAACACTTTATATAATTTGTTACATAATGATGTTTGGACAAATCTTTTCCAATCAGAGTTCTTTCGTTATTTTTTTTTATTACGACAGAGCTTTATATTACTTCTAATCTTTACAGTTCGCTTTTGATTTCTATGATGACTGCTGAGTCTTTTAGTGTTCTACCAAGGGTCCTAAATCTTAGCATTTAAAGACCAATTTCTAGCTAAGCTCTCAGCTTTGAAGATTAAGCTTAAATCCTAATCTTACAGCTCCGTGTGTTAACTTGGTAAAAATAGGCGCAACTTAGAGCGAAGGTCAGAAAAAGTCTCAGTGCTAAGGTACATGCATACATGGTTACGTTTTGTAGGACCTGGGTTACAAAGAACTTTATTGAATGAATGAATGAATGAATGAATGAATGTACTGGAGAGGTTGACCAGTTCAGCTAAATAGTAACTCGTAACTTTAGTAACAAACTGCCTCAGGTTTAACCAGACGGTGAAATTTAAGGTATGCAGAAATGTCTGACTTGTAGAGTGTGTTACAGCTGTCTACAGTCTACATGCAGTCTACAAGGAACACATTTGTTGCCAAAAACTTGATTTAGACACGACAAATTTGGTACTCAGAGTGGAATAAAACTGAAGGCAATTTCTATTTGAGCCAGGTCTGCTCCTACAAAGCCTGTGGATCTGGGACCCACTGACAGACATGAAGAGGCTCTGTGTCCTCAAACAGAAATGATACAACAGACCCAAAATCTTCAGAAGCTTCTGACTGCGTGACAGACAGCATGTTTCACCTCTGAATCTATCGCGAGCGCAGCAACAGAAAAACAAAATCTACATCTATGTTCTTATGTGGAAAACATCTGCAAAATATATATTCATATATAAAAGACAATCTATGTGCATCTAAAATTTTCTTTTTCTGTCATAATATAATCATTAATTAAGACACTGCTTGTGAATCTCTCAAGGTCTCTTCTAAGACTTCTAAGTGGAATGTCAGTCAGTTCTCTGGGCTTGTGGTGCTACGGTGCATCTGTTATTTCGGGGCGGTGCAGGGTCAGGGTCAGGAGCGATGAGTTCATAGTTTTTCCTCACAGCCCTGTGTCGTGATGCTGGGTGTCCTTTGCATAGCCTTTAGCAGGACTCCATTTTAGTGTTAGAAGCTGCACGGAGAGAGCCCGCTCTGAAGGCACAGCACGCCCACCCTGGGGTCTGTCCGGTCCAGCCAGCACCGGAATGTAGTGGCTCGTTCCCTGGCCTCCCCGACACCGACATCGGCAGCACTCTGTAGACGTGACAGCACCGGTGAATCCGCTGCGGTAAACCGCTTCAGTCAGAGCTCAAGAATGAAAAACATGGAAAGGAAGAGCGGGAAGTAAGGAGAGAGACGAGTTTGCGTGCTCCAATCTAAAAGCTCTCTCTTTGATGAATGTGCAGGGGTCAGGAGGTGTGACGTCACCGGGGGCCTCTGGGTGAGCCGGCGTGTTGGCTTTCAGGGTTTAGGCACCCCAGGGGAAGGGGGGACCACAGATGGAGGAGGAGGGGGAGTCTTTTTCCCAGCCCTGTCATGTGACAGCAGGGCTTGTGGTAGGAGCTGCACTGTGTGTGTTGGTCCACAGCCCGGCCGTCCAGTTGAGGACAGAGGAAGTCGATGAAGGGCTTCCCTGAAACTGCTTTAGGGGGCCGGGGCCTTTTCTTTTTTTTTTTCCTGCTGCTGGTGTCTCGGATCACCCGGGAGGCGGGGCTTGGTTGCTGTCCACCCTACTCCCACCTCACAGCTCTGTGACGTGGAGGGGGTAGGTGGGGGGCAGGTGGGCAGGGACCTGTGACTGGAGCCGGTGGATGTGGCAGCTGTGGCAGAGCAGGTGGCCTTCCAGTGGATAACAGCGGTGGCCCTCTTCGTCGTTTAGCTGGAGACCACAGTCCTGAAAGAGTGGCATAAAGACAGAAGCATGAACACATCACGAAGGCGATGAATAACTAAACCCTGATGTGCTTTGTTAATACAAAATCTATTTAAAGGAATAGTCTGACATCACTCTCTTATATCTATCATATACATGCAGTGACCGGCCCTACTCTGCCGCTATGGTGATTCAGACCTGGATAGCAGCTGAAAATTCATGTATTATAAATGAATTTGCACTGATTGTTTATTCTACTTAGTATTGTTACATCTAGTAGAAAAATGTTCAATTGAAGAAAAAAAAAAGAAAAGAAAAAACTTTGAAGGTACCTCATGTGTTACAGAATCTGATTTCCCCCCCTCCAATATGTAATGAATTTACCATTAGCAGGATGATTCAGCTCTGGACTTTACCCTTCCTCTGTCCATAAGCCCCCCACAACTTGGCTGAATGATTACCCACTGCTTACATAATGATCTGGTCCATTTGTATGAAGTGGAATGTCAACCATTCAGAGAAATCTGTCTTATCCTGCTCATAAGGACAGTAGAAATGATCTGGTCTCTCAATTCAGTATTTACAATGCACAAAAACATATGCAGAATGACTGCAGGGTGGCATGAAATGTTAATGTTAAGACTTGCACTGCAAACCATCTGACGCAGGTGAGTGGCAGGATGACTGCGATTTCACAAGTCTGGTTTAGGCAACAAGTCCCCAGCTGAGTTCAGATCTCAACGCTGGAATGCACTTTGTCAATGAGTCACAGTGTTGAGCTGTAACCTTGGGTTGGTATCCGTCTGAGTGTTTTTTCTGTGTGTGTGTGTGTGTGTGTGTGTGTGTGTGTGTCTCTCATTCATTCCACAACAGACTGCAGCGGTGATTCACACCCACCGCTACAAAACAGCCTTAGTCTCATCCCACGATTTGCAGCTCTTACCCAGTTTCACTAGTGGATAAATGTGTCTGTGCACGATCGGCTCAACAGTGTGTGTGTGTGTGTGTGTGTGTGTGTGTTTCACAAGAGCCTAAGAAGTTGACTCATACACAGAGATGCTGAATCGACTCTAGTCAAATCACATGCATGGTAGACTGCTCTTACTCATACTCCCTATGTGTGACTCTGTGTGTGTGTGTGTGTTTGTGAGGACAGAGTGCAGGCCTCACCTCACAGTGGTAACACTCCACATGGTAGTCCTTGTCCATGGAAACTACCCGGATAGTTTCCTCAGAGCCCTGGTGGGACAAACACACAGTAAGACCTTCTCATCACATCAGTCTAGTGTCTCATTAAAGTGATGGTCCAATAAGCAGCAGGTCTCAGGTCTGATCCCTGCAGCTGCCACGTGTCCTGAGGCAACACACTGCTCCTCTCTCTCTCCGTGTGTCTCTGTGGTTTTGCCAGTTTTATCAGAGAAATGCTTACTTTCAGCCTGCTTTGTTTTGGCAGGAGCAATAGACAAGATCAATTTAGCTCAGTTTGGGTTTTTGTCTTCATTTTAATTTATTTTGATACAGTGTGACTAATAAAACATTTTAGTACTTTGTTTGCTTCATGTCATATTAACAGAAACCAACATAATCTAAGACCAGAGGCACATTTGTCTCACATTAAAGGCAACATTTTGAAATCATCTGATGGTTATCTTTCCACGGAATCCGCCAGGTTGAATTGACATGTTTTTACAGAACGGACAAACTGGCTCTAGATAGGGCAGTCACCATAGTAACTCCTTTGTGCTTGGAAAGGAAGGTGAAGCGAGAGAGTGGCAATTTGCAACTACACCGTTTTGGACCATTTACTGAACCAGAGTGGATTTTTAGTAAAGAATATTTCTTGGAGATGATCAACTATGTTAGGACTGATTCATGTATGCTCCTTACCTGGGCTGGAAGGATGGGCTGGTTGCAAGAGGCACACTTGGGAGCAAAAACCCTGAGAGAGAAATATTAAATCAGTTGACTTCTTATTCTACACCAGATTTTTACAAATACATAATCAGGACGATACAGTTTCAAATAAATACAGCAGCAGGAGTAGAGCGAGAACCAAACATTTTACGACAAACTGCTATTTCCATGTTCCAAATTGTCCTCTTTGTGCTGAACAGCTTGTTAGGCCACATTCTGTCATGCAGTAATCACATTTTATCAGTGTGCAGAGCAGAGACATGTCCTCCTTACGTGTGGTAGTCTTTGACACAGTAGATGTTGTTCCCAACGTCCACAGTGAAAGGCACTCCATCTAGACCCTCTTTACACACCACGCAGCGGAAACAGCCAGGATGGTATGACTTGCCTAGCGCCTGGAGGATCTAGACGCCCACACACACACACACAGAAGAAAAACACACAAGATAACAGTGAGACTTGGCAGTGAGGCCACTGAGTTCATGTAGTGACATACAATGGGCTGCCATCGGGGAGGTTGAGATTAAAAACACAAACTGAGTGAGGAGTGGGGCGCTAAAATTTTACGCTTTAATATAGCATTTTGTGATTTTATGTCTGCACAATCCCATAGTGACTTTGCTTTACTTGTCCTAAGTATACATTCTATCCTATATAGCATACATGCATTCACCCTTTGCTTTACATTATTTTTTGCTATCGCTCTTACCATCTCCATGATGAGGTGCCCACACACAAAGCACTTCTCAGCTGTCTGCTGGAAACCAGAGTACTGTGGGTAGGAAAAGACACAGGATGTATTATCCTCGGCAGTGAATTCTGGAGAATTTTGTGATGGCAATACAATTAGTGGAACATGTACTGCTTCACACCTGATGCATGAACTTGTTTCAGTCCTCGACTCATCTACAGAGGGTGCTGCTGCACTCTTTAAATTAACACGTAAAGGCTTTCTCTCACAATCCTCTGTCTCTCGGCTGACACGTTCGTCCGGCTGCAGCGACCTGTGGTGCCTAACCTATGCATTTTTAAATCTGTATTTCTCTGAGGGAGGGTGCTGCTGTTGTTCTGCATGGCCCTCCATCATATTCAAACAGTTAAATCCAGTTGTGAATTACCATGTGTTTGTTGGCCGGTGAGTATCTCCACTGGACCAACTGGGTGTGACTTGCTTTCTGTGTGTTACAGGAAACTAAACACCCAGCACCACATCAATAGCTCCTCTCCCTCCAACCCCAAGCGCAAGCAGATAATAAAGGTGACCATCTGCAGCTCACAACCCCCTCAAGGTCGTGACCTGATGACTGGGGGGTGGGCTACCAGGTGGAGGTGGGAGGTGGTGATGGGCAGTCTGCCCCCTGCCCTGACATCTCAACTGCAGATCTACCATCTGCCACCACCCCACCGCTCCCGAGACACCCCCAGGGTGACAAGCCGGACTAGTCGAGAATTAGCAGTATGAGGGAAGCGGAAGAAGATTAGTCTCATCCCGTCATCTGACCTCCAGCATCAGTTTATCACTGAGAGGCAGTGATTGTTAAGTGCAAAACAGGAATTTCTCTAAGGGGAAGCTGCCGATAAACAGGAAGTGTGGAAAGCAGATGAGGCCATGTGTTGTGAATTTGTTTGGAATATAAAGCTGTTTTCAACATTTATGTCACACGAACATTTTGTCAGATTCTTCCTCCATGTTTGGAAACAATTTTGTCACATTCAGTTAATAACAGCATCACCAACAGCTACACTACATAACACATAATGATTCAAAACTGTCATTCTTTCATCTTGGTGAGTCTGTCTACATTAAAACTTCTCATTACAATAATTCTGACAGAACACAAAGGCATCATGAGGGTAGGCATTGGATTTGGCCTGTTAACCTGAAGCAGATGGACCAGGAGCTACAGCTGTCCACCTCCCACTCTTAATTGTAAGTGCCCGGAGCTGCTCGGGGGGTAATTGAGCTCCTTGGGGAAACTCGGGGGAAATTAGTGTGAATTGGAGGGGTGGTGCTAAAGTCCTAATTGTAGCTGCGATGTCCGTTTCCTCTGGAGGGTTGCAGAATGTACCCAGAGATCCTAATCATTCGCTCTGCTCCACCCGCTCCTCTCTCAACGCGCCATGAAGCAAGGATAGAGTGCTACCAGCGGTTCTGCTCACCACAGAGTAAAATCAATACTCATGAACACACAGGTGACTTACCAGGAAATCCTCCTCACAATATACCTTCCCGTTGACGTTGTAGAACGCTTTCCCTCGCAGCCTCCGCCCTAAAAGAAAGACAATAAATTAAATCTACATATTTAAGTATGGAAGGGTTTGCTGCATATAGACAACATAGCCAAGAGTACTTTTGGTTTGGATTTGTTTTTCATAGTTTGGGCAAGGCTTCTTTATTCCAATAAAGGCATATACAATATACAATATACAGCATACAATCACATATCAGACAAGCTTCCAACTTTGTAGCAATAGTTTGAAACAACATTATTCCCTATTCCAACATGACAACGTTATGATGTAATAGCCAGGTTCATAGAGAAATCATTTTCTCAGTTTGGTACAGAGGAACCCCATCGCCTTTGAGCTAACCTGGAAGGTTGAATCAGAGCTGTAGTCCAAATAGAGATAAGTATCATAGCTTCAACAGTTCCACAAAATGTGACTTATTCTTATTTTTTTCTGTCCTTGACATGCTGGTCAAAAACAGTGTAAGAGATTATGTCAGACACAGCACATAGAATAAAATCTTTTTATAACAATTTCTGTCAACGTCTAACACTCTAAATCAAAATACATCATACTGTATCTCTTCCTTAATCTCCCTACTTTACAACCACAACAGCAGGTCAGTGTGGAGCAGATGGTTGGCCGAATGTAGGCGACATCCTGCCTGCGCCTCCGTTTAATTACATCGGCTATTGATCCCAACAGGATTCCATTCACAACCCATACACAATCAATACAGCAGGCCATTTCCAGCCCCCCCTTCCCATCCCTGCCATTGTGCACCATCCACAGACAGACCAACAATAGCAGACAGGAGGGAGGATGTCCCAAACCTCAACATATGCATAAACACCAGTGCTAAAACAATCAATCCATTAGTGTATTGAAATGTTAATTACCCATTAACATCTATGGTCATTCATCTTGATATAAGATCCAACCATTACTGCTAATATTGGCTTTATCATCATCAAATAAAAACTTTCCTCGGATACTGGTTTGCACATTACAGACATCACTTTGGTGGTCTTGGACAGTATTTTTGACATTTCGAAAAGACTATAAGACATGAAAACAATCAATGGTTGCACTTCGGCACCTTGCAAACACATCCAGAGGAACATGTCCACACCACAACGGGCCCAGGTTCAGCATACTGAGCTTCCAGCTCCGAGTGTGAAGGCTGAATTCCTCTGGGTGAGCCTTCATTCATCAGAATCCAAGTTTGAATCCAATTTAAAAAGAAATTCTGCTGCGGGCTGGCTTCTGCAACCCCCTGCCATGCACCCCTTACAGCTCGCCCATTCAAATTCATTTAACAGCAGCGGTGTCTCTCTGGCAGCACGATGACTTCACCCGAGCCTGGCAGACGAAGCACACGGATCTCATAAATCTGCTGGATTAGTCAGATTTAATTGTCGTCCCGAGCCACCATTGATTTTATGGGTGTCCCCGCATGGGAAATCTGCCACCCCCCCCTCTCTCTTTTTAACACGGAAATTTATGCAATCGCTGTATTTCACACACAAACACAGTGTCACAATGCTGGGAGATGGCAATACATTAACACCCACATAAATGGCTGGAGCAGCCGAGGAATGCTGTCCACACAATAGGTGAGACTTTTAAGACTTTGAGACTAAGGAGCAATTAGCATTTTGGTAGCGTGGAGCAAAGAGAAAAAAGCAGGATCGAAGAAGAGCGCCATGTGAAGCAACTCTTAAGAGACACTGTCTTTAAAACCGAGACTTTGGAGAGGCTAAACTCACAGGAACAGTGAGATTATAGTGAACAGTGCAGCAGCAGGGGCTGTGAGGTGTTGCTGTGTGCTTGTCTGTGGCCTCTGCTCTGGAGTTTGGGGTCTGGAAGGTGAACACAAAGGCCCCAGTGCTGATGACTGTGTGGAGCGCTGCTAGGGGAGCGGGCCGACTGAGCAAACGGGGACATTCTTTCTGCCTGAGGTCACTAGCTGGTCCCATTCAACCCCCCACACCTCTCCAACACCCGCTCTCTGCCCGTTTCCCTCACCGAGAAAGGGAGGGGGAGGGCTGCATGCCTGCCTCTCTCTCCTCTGGCCTTTTGTCACCAGACAGAGAGCCCGAACCTCCTCACAGCGCTATAAGTGATAGAACCAGAGGCTCCGTTTACAAGTTACTATCTATGTGCAGGTTTTTAGAAAGCCAGATTTAAGAGCTCATTAACCCTAAATGGAATTGGATGCATTACAAACTTAACTGCACAATGTAAGATCCAAATGTAAACCTAATGAACATAAGGTTTGTGCCTCCTATCCCTCTCAAAACAGACCTACATTTTGAATTATAACTGGTTTAAAATATAGGTCATATGGCCAAAAACTGAATGATTGGGTCTAAACAAGCTGGAAGAACATACAATATAAAAAAATGCAACTAACCATATAAATGGTAATTTAACCACAAAATAATTTACAGTGACATGATGACTCATCTTGCTCTAGTTGCTTGTTCTACGGTCACAGTGTTACTGCTGAGGCTTTAAGGCCCTGACCTCTGCTCTCCTTAATGCTGGTGGCTTGTAATTTTGTTCATTTAGGAATTAGAGCTAGTGCTATTACTGTTAATGCATTCATTTTGAATGATGGTGTTGCCATGGGAATGAGCGTTTGGCTGGTGTAAGAGTACTGATGTGCCACCAAGGCAAAGGTTTTATTCAGCTAAATTTCCCTCTGGTCTAGCAGTTGTGCCGAGAGCCTGTTTCCACAAAAGAAACTGGAACGTACCCATTTCCACATATCAACAGCAACAGTTACTGGTAGCTCTGTGAGGCTGTATGGAGATTTTTCAGGTGGATCATGTGGGATACGTGGTCTTTTCTATGGTTACTTAAATAAAATCATAGGTAGCTTTTCAGCTCTAGCCATAACCCTTTCAAAGAGCAGTTAACACCCCAGAGTGAGTCCTTTATTGTTGCTGAAGGAGCATGTTCACCCTTGTTTTCTTCTTTTATCCTTTTAGGCCTAGATCAGACTCTCTTGTTGTATCTATTGGTACGATACAGCTGTAATGATGATCTTATGTACTTATGTACTGAAAACTTGCTTTCCCTGACCAAAGAGTTGCTGCAGCAATCATGTTCTCTCAATTGTTATAAAGTGTTATAAGTGGATAAGATAGGATTTTTTTATATGCAGCCTGAGATGAGGTCTACATGTGCCACTTTAGCCAAAGAGTGCAAGTTTCAACTCTGTTTAACTTTGATAGACAGTGTAATGAAGCATATTGTGTTTGAAAATGGAGCAGTCATTATTCTGATATTGTGCTTTAATTGCTTTCTCAGTGTTTCTTTTAACCTACATTGAACCCGTAACATCATATCCTTCTTGTATGCCAAGTGCAGGACAGTTTTGTTGGACTAAACATTAACTGTGCACCCACACAGGTGTTTCAGGTTGAAGTTACAGAGATATGTTGGAATTACATAAGGTCACCCAACTGTTTGAACCAATAAGAACCGTAGCTGTCACTTCTTATTCAAAATTCAAAACTTTTGTTTGAATGCAGGGAAAACATTTAATATTCGATTGTAGTCAAAGCGGTGTGTGGAAATATTTTGGATTCTACACTACACTACAACAAAGATAAGTCTGTTTGTGGACTTTGTAAAAAGCAGTTGCCTTTCTCTTCAAGGACAATAAATGTGAGGGCTTACCTGCTAGCTAGTCACCCGAGTAAAGCAGTGGAGGCACTAGAAACAACGTCTTCATACTGCCTACTGTTGCCACACTCATCCAAACCAATAGGATAACCAGAGCTATATGCAGGGATATGCTGCCCATTGGGGCTGTTTCAGGAGAAGGTTTTTAGGATAAAGAACTGAAGCAACAATATTAAATTCCAAATTGCACCACAATCTCAAGACAAATAGTGCAGTTGTATGACAAAACGCATTCATTACTTTTTTTTCTTTTTTAAATGAGGGGTATGACATGCAGCAAAAGGTCGCCAGCTTGAATTGCACTGTTACCATTCAGGTACCAAGGCGCTCCCGAAGGTGTAACCTCTCCCATCCTAACAGCTGTCAATCAAACAGCCCCCCACAGCCTTCAGATAAGGTCTAATGAGGCAAATAAGTGAAAACAACTGTGTAGTTGGACAATGGGTAAGAAGGGCCTTTAAGGCGGTGTAAATATGGAAATGCACAATGCTGTCATTATGACAGAAGGATCCATGCTAAAATATTCCTATAGTTTTTATTTAGATACATCTCTGAGTAGTGTTTACCTTTGAAATCTCTAAACCCACACTGCAATTGCTGCAAAAAAAAACTGGGTCATATCCATTCCATGCAGAAGTGTTTGCCAACTTCCTATTGGTCATATGCCTTGGTGTGTGTCAACATGTTATAACCTCTTGGTTCCTCTTTGTTTTATGAATTTGAGCGTTCATCTTGGCATGAAATTATTTTGCAATTGTCGTAACTCAAGATTCAAACTGTAATTTCTGTTTGAGCAAACTTCGAGCTAATCATGTAGCAATGAAGCAGGCAGGTTTGTTGAATCTTTGTAACTGAACACAACACATCCTCAAATCAGACATTTACATCAATGTGTTGCTTATAGTAGTGGCTGGCTGCAGCTGAAAACCTACAAGCAATCACATCTCTGATTCTGGCTGTGCAATCAGGTTGATTAGTCACGATGTGTAAAAGCTTCTGAGCGTCCTATCGCAGCCCAGACCTGCCTGCATTCACTCTGAAAAAGCTCATGGCACGACATCAGGTTGCCTCTGGCTCGGGCCATTCCAGTGCGAGTGTTTTTACATATTTTTGTAAAATCGGGATGTCCACACTGTTCTGTTCTGTATTTTATCACCTCGGTATTCTTAATGGTTGCCAGTGACAATAATCCAGTCTCATGAGAGGTACTGCTTGCTCTTGCTGGTGGGATGCATCACTCAGCCTCTCTGTTCTCTTTCTCTGGCAGAGAAACCAGAGCTCTGGCCAGGCTAGAAGGACAGATAAATGCAGTGATTTACCCACAAAGGAGCTTCAAACTGATTTT